TTGGTGCGTGATATGATGAAATAACGGTAAACGATATAATTTATCCAAACATTATATTTATCAAACGATGCATTACAATACAATACAATAAAATACAATACGATAGGATATATTATGAAACAATAGGTAACAACCATCCAAAAAAGCTCTAAAAGAAATGGATTCTACCAAAAGCTCTAGTATATTTTATTTTATCATATATGTAATGGAGAATAAATTTAGAAATTTCAAATTGGCAGCAAAATAAATTGAACTTCGTAGGACTGCAGCTGAACTCAGTAGCTTATAGCTACTACTCCTATAATACAACAAAAAAGAAGGGGTATTATAACAAAACCCAGCTGGGAAAAAACTGGCGGGAAGTTAGTTGATTGGAGACAAGTCTGGGAGAAACAGAAAAGGCCCCTGCAACCAACAGTAGTACCCCACTTCCTTGCCGCGGAAAAGTTGCAACAGATTCAGATTTCGTTGACTACGTGGCATCAACAAAGTCGAATTCACGATTGAATAACTATAAATTAATCCAAGAAAAAAAGAATAAGAAGAGCTATAGCCTTACGTATATATAAAGCACACATATAATACATACGTACTGCTCAGAGAGAAAAAGGAGAGAGGCAAAACAGAAAGTCACACACTAATTTCCGCACAAACCTCTGGGAAATTCTCAATTCATTTCCAGACGTTTCGATCCGATGATTTTATCAAATTCCTTATAGAAAAAAAATAAATCAACGAGCGCTTCGCTTTTGTAATCAAATCGAGAATTTAAGCTTCAAAAATACGTCAGTATTTTCGGTTCATTGAATGCGGCGCCTAAATTGACATCGGCTTCTTCCAGAATTCGGCAACAGTGAGTGCTCCTTTACCTGTATTGATCTTCTTTAAGCACAAAATATGAGTTTCGTTTTCATTTTCCTTGAATTGCATGTACTGTTTAGCGGTGTTCTCTGTCGCCTGCATCGGTCAAGCGTGTATAAATTGGTTTGCATTGACCTAAACCCTAGCTCCTTGTTGGTTCTGATGTTGTTTGTCTGTTGAATTTTGAACTAGGAGCTAGGAAAATATAGGAACCTTTTTTTTTTTTTTTTA